ACACTATGCTAAGTGACAGTGGGGGAATAGAAGAGATGTTTAAGGACACAAATTCATAACTAGTAGTAAATAACTAATAGAGGTCTAATGCACAGGATAGTGAATGTAGACAATACTGTAGCATACTCAAACTTACTAAGAGACTGTATCTTAATTATTCCAACCACACACAAAAAATGATAATTATGTGATGTAACAGAGGTGCTAACTATCACTACAGTGGCAATCATATTACAATAAATAAATATATTAATCAATATGTTGTACACCCTGAATTTACAGTGTTATATGTGAATATACTTAACACAATAAAAAAATTACTTCTACGCCCTGACCAGTGTGACTCAGTTGGTTGAGCATCGTCCTGTGCACAGAAGGGTTGCAGGTTCAATTCCAGGTCAGAGCACATACCCAGGTTGCAAGTTCCATCCCCAGCTGGGGCACGTACGGGAGGCAACTGACTGATGTTTCTCTTTCACGTGGATGTTTCTTTCTCTCTCTCCTTCTCACTTCCTCTCTCTCTAAAATCAGTAAAAACATTTTTTTAAAAAGAATTATATCTTCCTTAAAAAAAAAAAAGACAGTAGAGAGAAAGAACCTATATTCTGGTATCAGATGTACTCTATTTAATTGTATGGCCTTGGGCAAGTTATTTAACCTCTCTGTGCCTCTGTTTCCTCAACTGTACAATAAAGGTAACAGTACCTATACCTCATAGATAGCACCTAGAATAGTGCTCAGCACAGAAAAAGTGCTAAGTGAGGATTAAGTAGCTAACTACAAAGCTGAGTTCCTAGCACTGTGCTAGATGTAAAAGATTGTGGGATAAATTATATACAGTATTTGCCTTCAAAGGGATCAAGGCAGATTCTCACACTATAGTTTGTCAAATATCTACCTATGAGGAAAGCTTGAACCCTTGAATGCAGACAAACGGCTTCAATCATAATAAAAATTAATATTTAAAAAAACAAAATATTGAAAATTCACATTTGGAGAGGGTGATGGGGATACACTGGGGTTCAATATGTTATTCATTCTACTTTTGTGTCTATGGGAAATGTTACATAAGAAAAGTTGTTTTTAAAAACAATAAATTATTTTTTATTTTAAAGGATAAGACAAAAATTATGAAATCTGAAGGATTTTCTTTCATATCAATGACTTTATGCTACAAGTAACTGTCAGCATCAATATTTATGATTCAGTGGTGTTAAGAATTCTCTTGACAAGATTGCCACCTACTGGATTACCTTAAATTCTACCACTTAACATTTTGTGATTTAAACACATTAAATACCACATATAACCAACAGAAGGCAAGTATTTGCAAAATATCCCACATCACAGGAAATTCTGCCTGTTAGGTTGAGCAAAGTATTATTTAAGGAAGACCAATAGCCTTAAGCAATCTCAGTCAATTCTAGATGTTTACAGAGGAAGCAAAGAAACTTAACATGAATTTAGTAATTATTGCAGGATAGATGAACCCACAGTTGTTAGATATTATCATCAAGATTAATTATATTAAAATAAAAGCAATATAGTAAGTGGCTATATATGGGATGATTTTTAACTACCCTGATATTATGCAAGTGGGTGCTTGGGCTTAGGTAAAATTTCTAATGATAGCAATATATTCTGATTCAAAAAGTATTTTACCTCAACTTAGGCAGAAGCTCAGATAATGTGCTCTGAAATATGCCTTAAAATTATTCAAAAAGTAGATGAAGTGATAATGAAGACACTGATATCCAAGGTTATTGAAGAGATTCTGAACACAGTTGCCTCAGGAATATGAGAGTGGACTAAAACCAACATTCTTAAGTTAATTATTTTGTATAATATAGTCTAAATGTGTGTGTAAATGTTTAAGTTAACCAAGAAAATGTTATTATTGATCATTCAATGATTTCATCTTTAGTCATCAAGGTTTCTACATTTAAGATCAAATGGGAGCTTCTCATAGCAAAAAGGAAGGCCTGCACCCTATATACAAGCAGAGTATAGGCCTCTAGAGTAGAGGCATAATAAGCCACTTAATCATAAAAACTCCAAGATTTTTAAGTAATTACTAAAAGTTAAATTACTCAATACCTAATACTTCTTGGCCTGTGTTACTACAGACTTGACAAATGAAAAGCTGCCTTCTGTTATGCCAGAAAGCAAGCACTGGGGGCAGAGCTCCCACTGGCACATTCTGGGACCATCTGAGCACCAAAATAATTAAGCACTGTAGTGAATTATAAACTACTATGGGGGTGGGGGGACATTTATCATAGTAAAAAATGGATCAGACAAGAATCATAAGTGAATAAAGGAGGAAATTTTGATGAGAAGCAGGATATTTTCATGGGTCTCCCACAGACTGCTTACTAGTGGCAAGGGAATGGGGAAAAAGGAGAAATCAGACATCCTGACTCGGTAATCAAAGCTAACATCACCAGTGAGGGACAGGCAGGTATCAAGCACCTCCAGATGTTCGACCCTGAGAAGGAAACACCACCTGTGCAGCAATAATAGCCTTAATCTAATCATCTAATCACAAGGAAACGTTAGATTACCCCAAAATGAGTTATAGTTGTAGTAAAAAGAAGGGAAAGGAATGCAAACAGAGAAAGGCTTGTGAAAATGTTTCCAGATTTAAAAAAGCTAAACACGTATAGCAACTAAATGCAACACCTGACCCATCCCGTGAATCCTGACCTGGAAGAGGAAAGGATGGTATGGGATTAACTAACAAAACTGTAGACAAATGGCAGGTCAGATAAAAAGTACTGCATGAATGCTAAATTTACTGAATTGATACATATAATGTGGTTATATAAGAGATACCCATTTCCTAAGGAAGTATATAAGGATAAAACACCATGAGGTATGGAACTTACTCTAAAATTATTCAGAAGTGTGTGTGTGTGAGAGAGAAAGAGAGAGAGAGTGTGTGTGTAGGTGGGGAAAGAAACACTGAGAGACAGGGACAGAGAAACAGGAATCAAGAATTTGAGAGACTGAGAAAGTGGGTGCAAAGCAAATGAGCTAAATATGACCAATAGGTGATTCTGAGTAAAGACCATACAAGTGTTCTCTGCACAAGTTTTATTTTTTCTCTTCTGTGAGTTTGCAATTACTTCCAAATAAAAAGACTGAAACATTGCTATACCTACTGCTAATAAAAAAAAAGTCTTAAATCTCATCATTCTTTTTTTTTTAGTGGTCAAAATGGTTTACTCACATTTGTTAAAATCAGAATTGAAATGATGACATGTATAAAAGAATAGATAAAGTGGTTCTTTCACTATAGTCCATTGTGTCCTTAATGTTCCATCCCCTGCTGCCCAATGATTAGAACATGTGGACTCAACAGAGCAGTTACAGGGACTCAAAATCATCTCAATTGGAAGCACTCTCCACCTCAGCCCCTGTGGCTTAGGACTAAAATATTCAAAAGCAACAATACCTTTATCTTCAGCTATTTTACATCCATTTTAAGAAGCCATCAATTTTAAAGCTCACAATTATTTTTTATACCACTAAGGGAAAAACCATGACAACTATAATTATAAGATGCCATCAATTGTTAAACACACCACAATTTCTGAGATGTTAAACATGAAAACATGTGCCTCTTAAAATTGATGAAATAGGGTTTTTATTATTTGTTTTCACCTACCAAGATGCTGAACAGAACTTTTCCTGTTATTTGGAGACCAGCAGTAGGATCCAAAGATGGGAAGAAAGTGGCACTAAATATCTGACACTCTAAAGAAAGCTACAGATAACTGGGGGACAGACACCTTCTCCTAGACGCCATTGGGACAGAGGCTGCCATGATGCCATCAACCAGAACCTTAACTGGCCCTCACCTTCATCCCAGTCTAGAGAATGAATGAAGAAGTGGTCGTAGTATACAACAGACTTGATAAAGAGGCTTTTTTCTTTCTCTGTAATCACCATCAGTATCTCCCACTCCTCCAAGCCAAGTGAATAGGTATTTGTTTTTATTTCCAGTTTTTTGCCACTATAAAAATGCTATAATAAATATCCTTCAAAAATGTTCTTAGTGGTATACACTCTCTAGAATGGGACCCATGTGTCTCATTATAGGTATTTTTTATCCTTCATAGATGTTGCCAGATTGCTTTTCAAAAACTATGTACAAAAAAAAAAGATGTACACACACTTTACCCTTTTTGCCCATATCCCCACCAGCTCTACATCCTATTTCCACCAATTGGGCATCTTACTGTTACCTTAATTACATTTCCCTGTCTATTTGTGAACTGGGACGTCTTTACATATATATATATGTTTGCCGGCCATGTAAAGAGCTTTCCTATTCATACCCTTGCTCGCTTTTCTCCTTTTCTTCTGCCAATTGTTACAAAATTTATATATATGATAGGTGTTAACCCTTCATCTGTCATCTATATTATGAATATTTTTCCAGAACTATCATTTGTTATTAACTTTGTTTATAGTATCTTCTGTCCTAGAAGAGTTTTTTATTTTGTTTTATATAGCCAAATATAAATATATAAATGCACCCACACACATATATGTGTATGTGTGTGTATGTATGTGCGTGCACATTTATATATTTAAAAGATATGTATCCATCTTTTAAAGCCCAGTAACTACATGGACTGTTTATTAATAAATAAAATTTTAAAAATGACTGAGAAGTTAAGGTATCTGTCTTATATGTAAATAAGGAACAGCAAGAAAAAGGAATTTGACCAAACAGAGTTGAAGAAGTTGTTACTGAAAACATAAAGCCATTTCATGTTTATTGCCCCATCAATGAGATTTCAATGAACCAGTTACATCTCCCTTACTTAAGCACGAAAGCATTATGATCCTCATCCTCATTTTAAATAAAGAAACTAAATATGGTAAAAAGCCACAATGACTAATACAGCTGAGATTTAATAGCATGTCTCTAGAAACACAACACCAAGGTCAATATAAGATTTGGAAGCATTTAGGAGCAAGCTGCTTACCTTTCAATAGCTAATTCTTTGTTAGAAAGTTGCTGCACTGTAATCACAACCTTCTTCTCTATTCCTTGTTTTAATTTGAAATAAAATTTATCTCTGTCCTTAGGCACAGGACTGAAATATACAAAAAAAAAAAAAAAAAAAAAAAAAAGAATTATCAATACAATAAAATAAAATAATCTATTCCAATGCTAGAATGAGACAGCAAAGTATAGAAGCAACAACACCCTTATTCTTAAAATGTACTAAACTCTCCTCCTGTCACATAGTAACAAACTACAATTTTATAGTCAACAAAACATAACAGAGATTAAAAACAAGATTTTTTAAATGACATATTTCAAATTTTAGTTTTTAAATTAACAAATTTAGGAATACGATCTAATAATTTATTTTTAAAGATGGTCCCATGTCTGGTTTAGCTGGAAGTGCAGTCATGAGTTCTTTTACCATAGTGAAACCCAAGGCAAAAGAAAATAAGAAGAGCTTACTTTTCAACATCTAGAATTTGAGATGACTGTGACATATCCAGGAAAATATACATAAAAAATGGATAAAGAGATATAGATTGTGGCAGTCTAACCTAGGCTGGACTGACTATTCTTAAAACTTACCATTAAAATAATAAATGTCTAAAATATAGGTTGTCTTATCCAAAAAAGAAAAATACCTTGAGCGACTATTTGACCTAAGACTCAATTTCTGTATCTGTAAAAAATAGATAAAACACCTACCTAGCAATTATTGTTAGAATTGAAAGCACAGTTAAGGGACATAGGCGATCACTAGAATATAATTGTCCTATTATCCACCTATTTTTGAACTGGAGAAAACATTCTAAATACACAATAGAATGAATGGGTTAAATAAATGATGGTTAAGCCACACAATATACTATTGGTAAGCATTAAAAATAATTTTAAGAACATTTTAATGGAAAAATTCTTATATCATAAAGTTAAAAAGAAAAATTTGTATATATATGAATATATAAAAACACCCCCTAGAAATAAAGGAAATAAATAAAATATTAAGTGTTGTCTTAGTTGACAAGACTATAGCTGTTTTTACTCTACCTGTATTATTTTATTAAATTTTCTATAATAAATATCAGTATTTTTAAATATTAAGAAAATCACTTACATAAAATATCTGAAAAGCATGAGAAAAGTGAAACATATTCATTCACCAAATATTTCTTTAGCATTTTGAAGCTTTATACGAACACTGTATAGTTTCTAGAATCTTTATATTAGCCAATAGCATATTTCAGGCACAATAACAATTTTTATTCTTTCCAAATAACCTCACCTAAAGTTTCCTTTTCCATCATCTTCTTTTACCTCCAAGGAGACACTGAAGGTAAACACATCACTGTCGGGGGTAGGAATAACTGAGTCTTTAACATCAGACACTTGTCTGGAAGAACGTTTGAATGCTGTACTGAAACTATATAAAATTCTGCTTACCTAAAAGAATAAAAATGGGAGTACCATTAGGCAAAGGCTTTAACTGCATTTTGATACCCTTCTCTCCTAATTCTTGAATCTATAACTTTTCATAATCACATCTTTCTTTAGCAGATAGATACAATCTAAGCATATATATAGTTTGTAACATAGTGTATGCATAGTCTAAACATATATATTATAGCTACTTCTTTCCATGTGGCATTTAAACACAGTAATAAAGATATTTAAGTTCACAAAAGAACTCTATTTATTTAGAGTTTCTAGACCTCAGAATATACCATACTGCAATGAACGAATCCAAAGATAATTACTAGCATAATGCCGGCATCTAAACCTTGGCAATCAACGCACACAAACAAGGTTTTAGCCCAAGTCATCAATTTCTCTTTTCACTTCCCTCAACTTCAGAGGACTAGACATTGAGGCAAAGAATGAAGCAAATACTGGTTTCAGCAATAAGCAAACACAATAACACAGTTTAAAGAGTTTCCAGTGTTGTTACCCAACACAGCTGTGATATAAATGCATTGCAGGGTTCCAGAATGAATGTGAAATGGTCTTATCTATTTTACTAGTATTAAGCCACCCTGTAACTACTTTAGATAGATATATAAATCATATACTCTTCCCCTAAAGTGGAGAGGTACTCTAAATCTCACACTCTTCCAGAAGTCATTGTTTTTCTCGGTTCCAAAAGAAGCATCATACCATCTCACACCTGTGTAAGCCTGAAACACAGACGACCTTCCAAATCTCTTGGGCCACTCATGGGTTGAATGGAGAAAACAACATGAAACAAGAAGGGTTTAACAAACATTTTCAAAACCTCACACTGGGAGGAACACGTAAAGAGACTTCTCTGAATGTTAATAAACCCTTCACTTTAGATAGGGTGGATTCAAATTGCTCACTGAATTATATTTGTCTAGGACTTTAATATCTTGTTATTTGCTTGACACAAGAACACTTTCATCAACATCAGAATGTCTTAAAGTAGGCGGTCTTTCCCCATTTTTCTATTTTTTCTTATATATTCATACATTCAGCCTATCACATTCAAAACCAAGTGATCCTCAAATCTCCAACAGCCATACTTACACATATTAATCAATGATTGCCCTAAACTGCCTTGCCAATGCCGAATTAATAACTTCTTAAATTAACTGACTTACACATTTTTTACTGTATAAGAATGTTGCTTGCCAGCCTAAAGTTCAACTTCAGCAGTAGCATCATATTTGTATCACATCGCACATAAAATTTTTTAAATATTTTAATGTGTTATCTGATTTTAATTTTATATTGAGTAAAAACAAGAAAAGAAGCAAAGGACTAACAATAAAAACTGTAGGCCTCAAATCTGATACAATTAAAACAATGATAAATTTACTCATTCATTCCACAAATATATTTTGAACATGGTCTGTGTACTAAGCACTATACAGCAGTGAACATGGAGCTTACATTCCAGCACACATAAGCTGAATGTGCTTGAGCATATTTTTAAATACCCATTTCCCGTTTTATATAATTTTTGATACATTTGTAGAGTCAAACCCCAACTATATTTTTTCTCCTCTCCCATATTTTCCATTTCACTTTCTTTGTGTCAAAGCTATGAGCAAGCCTACCACATCAAAAAGTCAAAGAACTTGGCAAATTCTAAAGTAGATGGCAAGGCTCAGGAATTCCTCTTTCAAAAGGTAAAGTATATGGGGCTGAGCCAGAGTAGGTAGAAAATGATGGGGTTCTGAGGAGGGCCAGACTACACCTTTCTTTTTGGAGGAAGGACACAACAGTACATTAACATCATTAACAGCAATCAAACTGCATTTAGTCCTGACTGTGTCTTACAAGTTGCTATTTCCAGCAAAAGGTTATAATCGTTAGTGAATTCTAGAGTGGGTGAAAAGCTGGAATGGTATCCACAGATTAGTAAGGTAGAGTAGCTTCAGAAACAACAATGACCAATATCTATAGTTACTAGAACAAACTGAGTAACCAATATCATGACAAGAAAGGTAAAAACACATGCCATGGCAAACATTTCTATATATGCCAACTATTGAGCGCACACACACACACACACCACACAAAATAATGTACTAAAACAGGCCTTTTCTTTGCAGAAGGCAAAGGTTTATTGGCATAATACAGTACAATTTTTCCCCAGAAGGCAGCACCTATAGAAAGCACTAATTAAACACAAAACTATGTTGGGATTGTTGTGGTGGTGGTGGTGGTGGTGGTGTTCTGTGGTTGTTTCTGAAGAGATGGAGAGGGCACATGTAGATACGTGGAAAGGAGAAACACCAAAATCTTAACTCTGGTGAAATTCTGAGTAACTTTTATTTTTTTTATTTCAGTATTTTCCAAATTCTCAAATATATATTACATATTAACAGTCAAAAAAGTGCTATTTTGGCCCTAGCCGGGTGGCTCAACTGGTTGGAGCATCGTCCAGTATGCCTAAAGGTTGTGAGTTTGATTCCACTCAGGGCACATACCTAGGTTTCAGGTTTGATCCCCAATCAGGGCATGTACAGGAGGCAACCAGACTGATGTTTCTCTCTCACACTGATGTTTCTGTTTCTTTCTCTTTCTCTCTCTCTTTCCCTCCTTCCCTCCCTCTCCCCTTCTCTCTAAAAAATATAATTAAAAACACATCCTCAGGTGAGGATTTAAAAAAAGACATTTACTTAAAATAAATAACATAGCCAATTTTTCTAAAATAAACCCCTTTCCCTAATATTGGTGAAAGAGAATCAATTCTTTTAAAAACACCGTATGTCAGTGCTAGCTGGGTAGTAGACTTATTGGGGGATTCACTTGGTAAATTATATAAATGTCTAACCACTACACTGTGCATCTGAAACTAATATAATATTAAATTTAAACTGTAATTGGAAAAAAATAATAAGTAAATAAATAACACCATATGTCAAGAAAATATTCACACAAAAAATAAATGTGGAAAAATTCTATAAAAGACACATATCTGGAAAGATATGTGTTAACATTTTAAAAACATGTTGCTCAAATATATTACTCACTAAAAGGGGCTATATAAGAGGCATATCATAAATAAATAAAAACTTTTCAAAAAATTATAAAAATCTAAGGAAAACAGTAAGAGCATAACTTCTGAAATAATTTCCAACATAAGGTATTTTGCTAAAATAACATCAATATTTTCCTATGTGAGGAATAAGGCTTTCTTTTATATAGTGGCATATCAGCAATCCCAAGAAAAACCAGTGCATTAAGAATTAAAATCTTCCCAATTATACCCTTAATATTTCTCATGAAACACCGCTGAATGCCTAATACCACATGATAACAACTGTGCTTCTAAAATATAACACTGAGAATTGCTAGTAATGAATTGTATGTTAAAACATACAAACAACACAAACATCAAAATATGTTTTGAAGAACCTGATTATACTGACTAGTAAAAATAAATTCTTAAAGAGTGAACTAAGCCTTTTAAAACATCTTTAAGAACAGTTTTGTATAATATACCCATAAAAGGGCAACAAGAATAGGTGCTTTCTTGGTTTTTTTCTCTATGCTTTCTGATATTTCGCTTTTTCAGCAGAAGCCTAGCTGGTCATTCTCTTGTACAAAGATCACCGGCATCAGGATCCCAACTCTTCCACCACAGATCACTGAGATTCACTCCAACAGAGTCCTGCAGAAGAACATCCAGGGTAGCGAGTCAAATGTTCCCTAACTCTTCTGTTGGTTTAGAACCCCTAATCCTTGTGCCACAGGTCCAATGAAGACATCACCCTCACTGGCTTCTCTGCCACCACTGGTGCTGCTATGGTGAAATAAGAGCATGACATGACTTCTGGTAGTGGTAGCCATGTAGCTTATCCTACTTGAAAAGATATCTTGCTTTTAACAAACTTCTTCATGTGTCATCCTGGGACTCTGAAAACAACAGAAAACAAATTAATTAGTAACACTGCTACACAGTACATATTTAAGCAATAAGAATGTCTGTCACCTGTTCCTGAGCTATCTTTGCCAATTGCTTGTGCTCAACAAGAGAAGACCAAATACTAAAGACTAAAGTTGTCACTTCAGCACAGAAAAAACAACTTCTGGGAACCAAATAATCAGACAACTGGTAGGTGCAAGAAAAAGACTTCAGATTAATTAAAGGGTAATTCTTTTTTGAGGAGAGAGGAAGATGTTGGACATCTTCTGTAAAGGCATGGGTAAAACCCAAAGGCAGGTGGGATGAAAGCTCTATGACCAATCAATCCCTTTATAAAGCATAACCGAGCCCCAGCCAGTTTGGCTCAGTAGTTAGAGCATCGGCCCTGGGAATGAAGGGTCCCAGATTCGACTCCGACCAAGGGCATGTACCTCGGTTGCAGGCTCGATCACCAGCCCTGGTTGGGGCGCATGTGGGAAGAAACCAATCAATGTGTCTCTCTTACATCGATGTTCCTCTCTCTAAAGTCAATGAATATGTCCTCAGGTGAGAATAATAAAAAATTTAAATTTTTTAAAGTCTCAAAAATGACAAAGATTTCTCCATCCATACACAAGTGAATGCTATAATCCAAGGAGACTTTCATACCGTCACAGGTAAGAAGAATGCTTGCAGCCAGGTCCCTTTCAGCTTCCTTCTGCCACAGGGCTTCTGCCTCTCCAAGCAGCAGGTTCTGCAACTCTTCAATGTTCACTTCCTTGCTGTTGAGTGCCAATTTTCCAGAAACCACACAGGTATGCTAAATGATGGCTGCCAACATGAAATGCCAGCACTCTACCATCAATCAGTGAGAGAGAGAGAGCGAGAAAGAGAGAGAGAGAGAGAGAGAGAGAGAGAGAGTGTGTGTGTGTGTGTGTGTGTGTACATAAATGTTAGATGAAATAGATTCAGAACTACTCACACAGGCATGGGTTCTAGCAGAGAACTCTATGACTACAATCTAAATTACATGTGTCTGCACATGTTCATTTTGGTGTTCATGGATTAAGGACTGACATGCCCTGAATGCTTAGCATCAAACACACAGAAACCTACATTTCTATGAGTTCAAATGTTGTGGCCAGAAAGAAGCTCTCAGAACTCCTGTTAATACACTGGTTTATTTATGTTTCATGGTAAAGAGCAATAAGAATAACTGCAGCTTTCAGCATTTTCTGATGACAATTTATATTCCCCAAAGCAGACACACTGAAGACCTTGCTCATCCAAACCTACTGATTAAAGCCTAAGTACTAAAGTTCTAAAAGTACAAATTTTTTTTTTAATTTGGGGAGAATTCAACAGATGCAGAAAAGAAGGAAATTTTCCCACATAGTTAACAGCCATTCGATTCTGAACTATTTCTCCAGTCTTAGAACAAACCACACCACTTAAGAATGGCTAAAAGGAGCCCAGCTGGGTGTGGCTCAGCAGCTAAGCATCGACCTAGTATCTAGCAGATGGTGGTTCGATTCCCGGTCAGGGCACATGCCTGGGTTGCGGGCGTGATACCCAGTAGGGAGTGTGCAGTAGGCAGCCGACCAATGACAACTCTCTCATCATTGATGTTTCTATTTCTCTCTCTCCCTCTCCCTTCCTTTCTCTGAAACCAATAAAGACATATTTAAAAAAAAAAAAAGGATGACTAAAAGGAACTTCCTGGCCCCTTTGAAGGCCTTCAAGTTGATACCCTGCTATATGTGAGCATTTGTATGTTTAATTAGGCCAGCTCTCTAGAGCAAAAGCCAGCCTCTAAGTGAATGTATATAATAAACAATTACTGGTGAGACCACAGAGCTCTATGAAACCATCTTAGTACAATATCCAAGTGCAAGCAATACGCAACCATCATGCCCAGCAGAGGAAAAGGTATTGTTAGAGGCACTTTTTATAATTACATGGATCAATTAACTTGGGCAAAATAATAAAAAGGTGCAAAAACATTCCCCCTTCCTGAACCTGAGCAATGACTACCATGGTGGGTGGGAGGACAGCTCATCAAGGGGACTCTTCCTGTCCCACCTGTCAGGCTGAGTGTGCCCCACCTATAATACCACTGTCATACAGTTACAAGATTTGACTTTCCCTATTCAGTTCTATGCAATCACAAATATGAACCTTCTCTTTAGAAATATACTCCAAATGCATATAATATGGTATATGGTCACACATACAAATTTATCACACTGAGATTAGAGCTCAAACATATTACCCTAATTAATCTCCATAGCAAATAGCTACAATATATTATACTTACTGCCTCTTTAATTTCACAGGTGAAGACATGTATCTGAAATTCTTCTGAACCATGGGAACTCTCTGTAAATGCAAAGCAATTGCTCTCTGTTGTCCCATCATGTCCACGTGCACAGAACAGCACCTTATAGATTGGAAAAGATGCTATCTCCACATTGCTGGACTGGTCTATGATTCTGCAGAACAGTGATGGGAAATGGAATAAAATATTAACTATCAAAGAAAAAACACAAATAGTTTTTTGTTTGTTTTGGCAAACAGTTTTACTATGTCAGTAACATATAAACATACTCATCTTAAAATCACAAAATAAACTAGTACCAATAATGTGAGAAAATCAATTATCTTCCTATTCTTGCTATATGTATATAATGTATAAGCATACACACACACACACACACACACACACAAATTCATCACATTCTTTCGACAATTACTTCACTTTTACGTTTCCTATGATCTAATTCACTTATTCCCATAGCCAAGTATACACTGCCTAGTAAAATCTATGTCACCCATCCCTAACTGCTATTCTTGTTCTGTTACAGCAAAAGGAAAAGGAATGCCAGGTCAGAATAGCACAGACCATCCACGAAGAGTTCATTTCTATTGAGAGCAGCACCTACAAGTTTATCCAAGCCCCAGGTTACTGTTCAAACAAGACCTCTTTTACCCCCCAAAATGGTCAGAGTGGTTCCAAAGATCAAATTAAAACAGAATTTAAGAGGTAAAAGAAGTCTGTGGGATTTAAGAACAAATAATTCTCTGACTTTCCCTATACAAATCCTGAGCCCTAGATTGATCTAAAAACTCAAGACCACTGCAGGGTCTCAAACTGTGAAATTGAGGAGTACCCACTAAAAATAGAGGCAAGTCAAAAGAGTAAGTCTTTGTCAATGTGTGTTTGGCACTTTGAAACTAAACAGATAACATTAAAAGGCATTTCGACATTTTTAAGAGCTATCATACAAACAATATATCTATAAAATCCTTTCCTGAAAAATTCAAAGAATTTTTACCAAAACCTTGTCATTCATATTGCTATTTTAGAAATTAGCTAACATCATCTCACATTCTAAACTTTAGAGAATGATGAAAATCAAAAAGGGTTTGAAAAAAGATTAAGTCAGCCTTCAGGGAATATTATAGGTTCAGGACACATTCGACCTAGTTTCCTAGACCTGGTACATTTATTTGTTCATTCAGCAAATATTTACTGAATGGACCAGATACTACTCTAGACACTAAAGTTACACCAGGGAAAAATAAAAATAACTTGCTCCCACGGAGCTTATGTCTAGTGAGGAAGGTAGACAATAAACAAATAAGCAAATAAGTAGTATATAACATAATGTTGAATCAAGGAAAAGTGCTATGAAGAAAAAAAGACCCAGTGAGGGGAAAGAATATAGTCACAAGTGTGACTGAAGGCCACTGGAGGGCTGAATGTAGGAGAGTAACATCTGATTTAAATGTAAAGAGAGTCAGGTTTAAATGACATTAAACATTATTCCTAATTAAGCATAAAAGAAAAAGCCATTTTGCTTCTTTCCAGTCTGATGAAAAGAGCCGAAAATCAAGGGCTCACTCCAATTTTTTGAACCACTGCTACATGACAAGGTAGAGGCAGATTTTCAGGCTCTTTCAAAATACAGAAACAGAAATTACGGGTATTTTACAGTTATATTTCCACTTATAATATTCTAAGCATAATTTTGCAAATGCCCCTTGCAAATAAACATGTTTACTTTGCATGTCTACAGAGTAAAAGTGAATTAACAGTAAGTCCTAAGCCTGATTTATGAATATAATATCATCACCACCACCCAAAATTTGCAATATGTCTAAGGGGGAAAAGAGAATTAGAGCTCACCTCACAGAACCTTCTGGAACATTTGGCACATACAAAGTAACAGAAAAGGGGTACTGACTGGAAGATTTCATAGTTGCCATTGCCCGTAAAGCCTCCACTTCATTTCGTGGGGAAGAAACCTTCATACATCCTAAGTAGGTCAGTTTGTTAAATAAAACACTATCTTCTTCAGGTAATCCACTTGGAGAAGATGGTCTAGGTGTAGAAATTTCTGAAGAAAAAACACTCGTAAGTTAATGCAAAATTTCACCATAGAATTTTGCCTATTGCAGAAAAACAAATGAAAAATTTAGGTTTTTCTGTGTCTTCTAAAGTTTATCATTCACCTTAATTCAGAGTTCTAGAATTGGTTGGTTTTTTATTTTTATTTTATTATTGTTTAAAATATTACAGATGTCCCTTTTTCTCCCCAATGACCGGTTCCACCCCTTTCCTTCCCCCTCCCCAGTCCCTCTCCCCACCATTGTCCATGTCCTTGGGTTGTGTATATATGCACATAAATTCTTTGGTTACTCTCTCCCCCTCCACCCACCCACCCTCCTCCATTCCTCTGACATTCATCAGTCTCATCTATGCGTCCATGTCATTGAATCTATAGAATTGGCCATTTTAAACTTCCAAGTCTCACAAAGTATTATTTTACTTAGTTACAACTTCTTTAGAAGAAAAGGAAAAAAATGCTAAGCTTTATATTTTAAAAAATAAAAACATGGAGTTCAAATGATATAGAACAATGAGAAAAACCTGCACTAAAGACAGTGTGAATTGGGCTAAAAATAATGAGGATTAAATAAAACCAAAATCAGTTAAAAGTTTCTCTCGGCTGTGAAGATCCTGCATGCATAGCACCAAATTTAGTAAGCAGCCCACTTTCCTAAACAAGTAAACAATGTTAAGATGTTACAGCTCATACCAGTAACAACCAAAGTCAAGCTTCTTACTTTGCTCCTTCCTGGCTTGGTTGCTTTATGAACTATTTAAGTATTCCAAAGGAAAACTTTTCCCCAAAATAATTGTTATTTTGATGAATGATCCTATGATTGCTTCCCCCAACTCTCCCCCCACTCATCATCAATAAGTCTCTTTAAACAACAACTGTTCACTTTAATTCTAAGCACAGCATGTAGCAAAGGCTGAACTGTGATTAGAGATTATCTGTCTGCATATATCAGGTAGTAGAAAATTCTCCCTTTGCCACTCTGCTAGCCCACCTACAACCCATATTCAGCTAGTCTCCAAATCTTCCCATTACCCATAACCATGCTGCACAAAACTAGGCTGAAAGCAAAGATAATGAAAAAAAATACTGAAAGTAAACAGGGAAAAACAGTATGTTACAAATAGAAGAACAATGAGTGATTCAAAGGACTGCAGATTTCTCATCAAAAACTATGGGGACAAAAAGACAGTAGAATAACATCTTCAAAGTACTCAAAGAAAATAACAATCAAGAGATGTTTTTCAAAGAATGAGATGAGCTAGCTCTCTGGAGTCTCTTTTATAAGGGCAATAATCCCAATCATGAGGGCTCTGTCTTTATAACCTAATCACCTCCAAAGTGATTAAAAAGCTCCCTCTCCTAATACCATTACCTTGGGGATTAGGATTTCAATATATGAATTTGGGGGAGGACACAAACGTTCAGAATGCAGCATAGCATGCCTTTTTATGGAAAGTGAAAATAAAAATATATAACTAGAAAAGTTACTTATAAAGCAAAGGAAATTCTTCTTATCCTCTGAGATCTTCAGCAAAAGATTTTTTTAAAATGTATTTATGTAAGGGGTGTTGAGAATACAAAAAGTACACAATGCATGATACAAAAAGTACACAATGCATGATCCTATCAAATATGCTCAAGAATAAGAATCATATTATCCAAGACAATGCAAAGAACAGTTGATTCCAACAACCCATCAGAGCTACATTAGAAGATAAAAGGTATTTCTTCCCTTCTATTAATTACTATATTAACCAAAAAATAATAATTATATGAATGTTGATATCAGTATGCTTTGGGGTTTTTGGGAGGGGTAAGAATTTAAGAAATTCAAAAGATAAAGCAAAATACAATAAAAAATACAATCTCTCATGTTCCTTCAATCAAGAACTAACAAAAATTAATTGTAAGGTTTCCAACCTAGTATTTATAATTTAAAAATACAGATATAGATATAGATACATATATATAGCTTAATGAGTGTGGCCCTACGCTGAGACCTATGAGTCTTTATAGTGAATCACCAAAGCATGGGTGTTCTTGGGGACCCCCAATACAGTACAAATTTCTTCTCCTAGTCTATCTTTTACCCATATTTCTTAAGGCAACTTTCCAGTTCAGAAGGTTCAAGTTTTTATGTATTAAAATATAACCACCTTTACCTTTCTGATTTGGGTCTTCCTACCCCTGAAAACCACAAAAATATTCTCCCATATTTTCTTCTTATAGATTTCTTTTTCACATTTAAATATTTGATTCACTAGGAATAAATCCTGTGTATAGTGTAAGTTAGGACTATCATGGGCCTACTATGTAGCACTCTGGCCTATGTCTATACTTACCCTACACCAACATTCCGAAATGGACTGTGAGCGCCCTAAGCCAAACAGGATAATCTCACCTCCTCTATAACCAAGATCTATACCTATCAGTTCATGTCATTCCCCTAGTGAGAAAATGGCTCATTTGGTCCAATCAGAGTAAAACTCAAAACTTTTGTTCAATAGGTGAAAGAACATTCTTTCTCTCAGCCACCAGGCATCAACAAATCACTTGGCCTTTTCTATTTCTGCTACTAACTACATTTTGTCCATAAAGAAAGTCAATTAAGGAAAAAGGTGACATGGAAAAGATCAAAACTGAATAGTTTAATACTCACCTAAGGATATGTGTTGTTTTATTATTATTATTGATTTTTAGAGAGAGAAGAAGAGAGAGTGAGAAACATCAATGTGAGAGAGAAACATTAATCAGTTGCCTGCCATACATGCCCCAACCAGGGATCGAACTCACAACCAAGGTATGTGCCCTGACTGAGAATTGAACCCACAACTTTTTGGTGTATGGGACTATGCTCCAAGAACTGAGCCACCCTGCCAGGGCCAAAACTGAATAGTTTACAGAGAAATTCTACCAGAAACCAGATCAAACCATACCTCTAGTGTTTAAACCAGATGGAGTTGCATTTGATTTGGCTTGGCTTTTCTTGCACCCAAAACCATTTAAATTTATAAGCTGGTATTCCTACCACAAATTATACTCACTCATGATGGACTGATTATTTAATACACTGATGGAGTTAATGATATTTTACTTAGAATTTTCACAAATTATATTAAATAACTGTTGTCAAACTGAGTAAAAAGGTACATCATATAAAAGACTGTGTCAAATACACTTCTCTGAGAACCAAGAACTTATTTACTTGTTCAGTGAGTATTGAGGGCCTACTATGTGTTATGTATTAGGGGTCAAATAAAGACCCAGATATAGTCCCTGTTCTCAAAAAACACTGAAACTGATATCACAGGTAGAGAGGCTAGCAACCACAAGAACCAAATGAGAGCTCTCAACCAGCAATGAAAAACTGGTGGCCCTGATCTTAAAAGCAAAGCTAACAGGATTTTTAAATTTTTATTATCACTTTATCCCATTTTTCTTATTGTTTCTATGAGTTCAGTACAGTACCTGTATTTGATGGATCCAAAATTAACTGAAGAGATGGCTTATTTGTTTGGCTGGCTGAAACATTTCCAAGTGAATGGTCTGAAATCTCACTGAAACTCTGACGATCCACAAGAAGACTGTTCTGCCCTTTCTCAGAATCTCTTAAAATCTCTTCCATGGCTTTTTCCAGTTGTTCATCACCATTAGAAACTATCTATAGACAAAGCAAGACAATTCTGTTTCAATCATATTATGGTTCTGGAGCTGAATGAAAATATTTCATTTCTAGATGAAATTAAAACAATCTAAATATTTAAATTTAAATATAGTCATTGAATATCAAGAATTTATATAGTTGTACCTAATTTCACTAGATGTACTATAATACAAAATCTTGAATTACAAAAATAGCTAAACTAGAAGACTTAGTTTCAGAAAAGGATTTCTCAGAAACGCTTCAGGCAGTTTCCAACTACATCTGATCTAAGAACTTGTTTACAGAGATTTTCTTTTCTTGTTTTTTCTTTTTCCTTTTGGAATATATTCCAGAACCAGGTAATCTTAAATGTATGAGTTTTAAAGGGAAAAATTTATAAATTTAAATAGACAGAGTCTACTATGAATATCATTTAAAAGGTCACATTTCTTATCATAGCATAAACATATTTCTGATTTCTTTACAAATTTTGTTTGCTCACTGCCAAGAGGAGTATTGCTAATTTCCTTGCATTTACATTAACTCAGGTTTTTCTTAAAAGCAGAGAGGACACAAAACCTAAGTAAATAAATAACATCATAAATTAAATACATTAAAATATTGATGTTTAAAGAAATTTAGATAGTTGTTTATTTAAATAGATATTTAAATAAATTTAAGTAAAGCCATTGATTATTTTAATAAAGTTATAAAACTATATATCCTCAACATAATGTAAAATGGGTATTTTATAATCTGACTTTTATATAATTTTATTAGATTTATATACTAATGTACCTTTGATGCTCCCACCTTTTAAATTAAATAAAAATCATAAAAATTATGTAGCACATCTGATTAATTTCTCTACTCCTGTTTCTAGAGGGTGGATATCCAGTTCTCACACATGTATACCTGGGTTTGTTTGCTCTTTTTTCTCTGAGTTAGGAAAGGCAACACAAAAATGAAAAAGAAAAAGGAACATATCGAAATACAAACTCAGCTAAAAATATAAGACATATAATTTTAAAATATTTAGACAAGTCAACTGTTAAATCACATACTAGAATGTTACCAGCTGATTTAAAGCCATAAAGGAAAAAAAGTGAAAAGTAAACATTACTATTTATATAACCAACTTAACCTATCAGTAAGAAAGACAAAACTATTCCAATAAATTAAACTTACGTAAAATTTAACCATTAAGTCTAATTCCCAATTATCCTTTCTCTTTCTCCCCTTCTATTCCTTCTTTCTAAATTCCAAATTAAAAGATAAACCACCGAAAGCAAAAAACTTCAAAAATATACCAACCAAATAATGAGCCTCTAGATGAATCAAACATTGACTCTATTCTCACAGTCAACACTTAAGAAAAACCTTTGGATTTTATATATCTCCTTTCACCTAGTTAAAAAATCCATAATTTAAAATAGTATCATTTGTAGGAAAGAAAAACTACCTTCAGTTCAGGTTTTTCTTCATCTTTTGTAGAAGTATCATCTGCATGCTGAGGAACCAAAACAAATTCTTCACTGTTCAGTGTAGCCACAGAATCCAATGACCCAGTAACCTTCTGTAATGAAGCTCTGACCTCCATTTCAGTTCTGCAAAGGTCTCTTCCCACATTCACCTGGTCAAAGTCACAGGGATTTAAAAAAGAAAAAAACACACCCATTGAATAAAAACATGAACTTATCAATCCACAGCCTTTAAAAATGGTTCATGTGAAAAAGAATTCTGCTCACTGGATAATTATCTCAAAACTAGGGAAGCTACCCTCTTGGACTGAGCCACATAATGGAAATATACTCTCTTCACCCTGTACTGCCAGACTAAAAGAACCATATTGTTCCCTGAGAAACAACACAAACCCGCCCATATCTCAGCTACTACTGTTTGACTCTCTATTTTTCTCCTAGAAATACTGTCTTTGTTCTTCTTAATAAATAGAAGGAATAATTAAGCATGATACTAGAAATATCTACAAATTCACACACACACACAAATACATTCACAGGAATTATTTTATAATTAAACCTAAATGTCTCCAAAAACTTATCTCCTCAAGGCCACATATAGTACTTTAAAATATATTTTATGTCACTAAAATTAACTAATATACAATTCAACACCCTAAGCTACATATCTTTTCTTTTCCAGACACAGTACCACTTATTATCTGAAGGGGAGAGGGGGGAGTCAAAGCTTTCACACTGCATTTATGTAGCAAACAATGTTACAGTGATCAAATACAGTGTAATTCTGTTTTCTGGATAGATCTCTACACCATACAAACTCAACATTCTCCAAATATTCACAAATTCGCTTTAGTTCAACATAAATGCTACTAAATTGCAGACGCTGCCCTCAGCACTGGGGTTACATGAGTGAACAGAAGGACTAGTTGCCTGCCCTCTTGGAGCTGACAGCTAATGAGAAAACAAGCAATGAAGCAAATATGGTAATTACAAATCACTCTAAAGGCTATGAAGATAATAAACGAGGCTTATGTGACAAAGAGTAGGTTAGTTGTAAGGAGTGTAGGGGCAACTGTAAGTGAGGTGGCAGGAAAGGACTCCCTGAAAGGGAAATATTTGAGCTGAAACCTGAAAAACAATTAAAAGGACAATATATTTACACAATCTGCTCAGCGACCAAACGGGTAATATGATAGAGCGGTAGGACAAGAGGCTAGGGCTAAAGAGAACAGGACCTTGTAACTATGGTAAATCTGCTGATCTAGGCCTAAAATTCGCCCAGAAATGTTCTTTTTCTCTTTCTAATTCCGTTATTTTGTTCATGGCAGCATATTAATATGGCTGCAATATCTTATTTTGCCATTAGGTGACACTAACACCATTACTACTGCCCCCCCCCCCC